TGGGTAGTGTAAGTTTTTGTAATTTAACAGAGAGTGTAATTAAAAAAAAGTGGTTAGAGAGACATGGTAGAGTTTAGAGAGAGTTTGATTTAATATTTCTCTCAATCTTAGTATTGGGGGAGGAGGAGTGACTAGACCTTGACCTATTTAAACGGTTAACTTAACGGAAGTGATATATTGAAATGGGAGGGGAGAAGAGAAAAAAGAAAAAGGAAAAAGAAAAGAAGGGGGAAGTAAAGAGAGAGAGGCTGTAAATGGGTTTTACATATGAAGGAGAGAGGTGCTAAGTTTTAGCAATTTATGTAAAAAATAGATTTTAATGTTTGATAGTAATTTAGATGTCTAAAAAAAATCCACGAAGAAATTAATTTGATGCTTGCTAGCAATTTAAATATTTAACTTTTTTACAAATAATTAAGGGATTTAATAAAAAGTTAAATACTGTATTTTAACACATTCATAGAGAACACATTAAAAAAAAGTTTTGAACTATAACAGTTTGTTTACCTGACCAATAGTACTCTTTTAATATTGTAAAAGACAGTTACGGTAACATCTTTATCAGTTTGAATCTAATTCATGAATGTAATTTGTAATTATTTTATATATATATATATATATATATATATATATATATATATATATATATATATATAAGATATAAATGAATTAAAAGAAAAAGAATAAATAACGAAAGAATGAGTTAAATTGGAAGACAGAAAGAAAGAAAAAAAAAGAAAGGTAGAACAGGAAAATATAATAATAGGGTACCTAGACTTCATGAATATATATATATATATATATATATATATATATATATATATATATATATATATATATATATATATATATATATAATGTTCTTGTCTTTTTATTTATTAGAAAAAATGTATACAGCGAATTTGGCAAACTGTTAGTCTTCAATATAATCCCATTGGCATCCATAACCTTTTGCCAATGTGCCTCCAGCTGCAAAATGGCATGGCGGTAAAAATCAAATGCCTTACACACAAAGAAGTCTGTGGGTGTCTGTCGCAAGTCTGCCACATTTGCGAAGGATTTTGATTTATTAGAAAAAAAAGGTATACAGCAAATTTGACATATCGTTAGTCGTGAAAATAATCCTCACCGGCATCCGTAACCTTTTGCCAAAGTGCTATCTCTGTCAACCCAGAAATTTATTGCACTGCGAGTTTCAATATTGTCTTCACGTCCCGACTGCATTTTGACAAGCAGTTTTTAGTAGGGTACATTCAAAGAGCTGTTACAGTCGTCCCTTCAATTGAGATTAACAAAAAGTAAGCAGGTCAGCTTATTAGATGTATAGTAATGATTTACTAAAATTACAATAATCTAGAAGACATATACTTTTTCTGTAGTAAAAAAGAATGACACCTTCTGGAATGCACCTCATATATATATATATATATATATATATATATAAAGACAGAACAGTAAGATAAGTAATCCGGTGTTCTTATTGATATTTTATTTTATTTTTACTAAACAGTGCTCAATTTAAAATTACAGGGCATGAATATTATAAATTAACTGATTTAAAATATGATTTCTTCGCTACACATTAATAACCATGTTTCAAAAACTGAAGCTCAAACCTTCAAATTCAATTATATAATTATATTAAAAGCATTAGTTTTGTTTCATCTTCAAGCGAATTTTGGAATAACTTTTATTTTTATTTTTAAATTTAAATTTTTTTTTAATTTTTAAAATTTTTAAATATATATATATATATATATATATATATATATATATATATATATATATATATAAAAGACGAACAAACACTTAAAAAACAATAGGTGATATTTTATTTCATTGAAGTTGATAAAACATGGCTTCATGTTTTATCGACTGCAATGATACATTTTTTCGGAATACATTTTTTTATGCCTGACAATTGAAGCCAAATTGAAATACATTTGGGGAAGGCTGGAGAGTACAGCGGTCGAAAGAAAATCAATGAAATTGCAGGGATTTGTTTGAACTAACTAAAATACAGTGATTAAAATGCATCATCGATACAATTTCAAACAAGGAGGCATCTTAATCTTAATTTTAAATTAAAATCTACGTCGATTTAAGGATCGTCCATTACTGAGATTCATTTTAAAAGACAAGTTATCACACTTAAGCAGTTTTGGTCGATATGGTTAGATATTGTCTTAATTCCCAAAATCTAACTTCTTGCTTAGGCCGAGAACTTTTCAGCTGTTCTTCATCGACTATTTTCATGATCTTTAAAACTTTCCTTATTTAAGTCATTTTCTTTCTTTAAAATGTAATTCAAGTAATGACTTCTTTCTCTGATATAAGTAAAATGTCGTCACCAAATAGTACGTGGTTGTTCACAAAATAATCTCCGATTTTAGAATAAACCTTCTTCTTGTGTTCTAATATATTATTATAATAATTGCACAAAAATATATTACACTTTCCTGATTATTAAAGCGTCCACTTAGTTAATTTTATATCAATCGCTTTCAGAATTTTGTTCTCAAATACCTGACGCGCCCTGTGTATACCCTGGAAAATATTAAGTTGTTCGGAAAATAATGTCCGATTTTAAAACAAAACTTTTCACTGTGTTCTAATATATTATTATGATGCTACTTCGGATTTCTGTGTCACATTATCCGTCGTCTGTTAAGAGTTTCCGGATAGTGAAATTTCTGCACTTGCTTAATTTTGCTATCTCCAATTCCTAGCTCATATCTTAAGATATTTCTCTTGCTTACAGCAATACTTTCTGTCTTCTTACAATCTATAGTTAGTCCTTTCTTCCCGCTTTTATTTGCTGTATTGTCTATGTGTTTCTGCAGATTTCATTTGCATAATTCACGTTGTTAAGATTATAACATCTATATTAATAAATGCGAACGTCAGTGTGTCACTCTGTCACACTTTTTCAACTTTACTCCTCGAGGCCGTAGCACAATATATCATACCATTTTGGAATCAGACCAACTCTTGGAGAAAATTAAAAACATTCCGAGACGCAATCCTGAATTTTTGGATTCGATAGTTTTCGGATAACGCCATCTTTGCCTCTACTGATAAAAACAATTAAAGGGGCATAACTCTAATTTTAAATGGCTCGTGTCCAAATAAAAAACATTCTGTTCTCTAATTACAGTTTCAAAATAAAATTGTCCGTGTTTTCAACTTTAATCTTAGAGGCCGTAGCCCAACATATCATATAATTTGGGAATCAGGCCGACTACGTGGGCAAATTAAGAATTTTCCGGGTCGGATCCGGACCCGGAATCCTGAAATTTTGGTTTCTCAAATTTTCATTACTGCAATTTTTTTCAGCGATTTTTTACGTGATTTTTTGCGACGAATTTTTTTGTGCGATAACAAATTTATAACTTGGAAATAAATTTAGGAATAATCGAAATTAATTGCGAAATCCAACAAATCCATGAAATAAAAATAATTGTTTGTGTGGAAAGTAAGAAACTACGTACATAAAATTGTCTTTGAATTAAGTGGGGGCAAAACAGTTATCGTTGAACTTTTAAAAAGTAAGCTTATATATCAATGCAATACTTAAATGTAGCGATCAATTTTGAGTTCTTCTGTAATTTATTGTTGTCTATTGCATCTACTCCTCCCTACCGATTGTGATGAAGGCCCAACCAAGAACCCTCCCTAGTAGCTAGCTTAAATGCGAGGCTTTTAAGCTAGTCATTAATATATCCACCTAGGACTTATTTCTCTTCGAACCTTCTGGCTGTAAATGTTAAATAAATCTGGTGAGAAGATACATCCTTGTCTTAAGCCTATTAAGAGATTTTAAGCATTTTTCCGCAAAATCTAATTGGACAATTATTAATTCTTTAATGTATATTTCGTCGTGTTAATTTCTGTTGCATTTGTTTTAAATTCCAGATTAACTTTCTTCCATCGATAAGTAGACAACGACAAAAAGAATGGTGTAAAAATTAAAATGAAAAAAATCCTCGTAAAAAAATATTTAAAAAATTAACAGTCATTCCTCTAAGAATTTTGAACATTGTTGCATACTTTTTGTCTGAATTTCTGGAATGAGGAGCTATCATTATTTCCTCTATTTATATTCTGACTATTCTCCTCATCTTTGCTGTTTTTATCACAACGTTTATATATCCATCTGGGTAACCTACTGGTAATTCCGAAATGAACCCTTTATTTAATCTATGCAACAAAAACTGTCGACTCCCGTAGATCAAATAAAGTTTTCAGTTCGGAATTCCCTGTAGGTTAGCCAGATCGATGTACAACTGAAGAAGGCACTGTCGAAACGGTTACGTTAAAAACAAAGATGGCGACAATAGTCAGAATATAAATAGTGTAAACCATTGCATAAGTTAGGCATGTGTTAAATAGACACGAGCGACTTCGACACCGAAAGAAAAGGACAATACTTAACATAAGCAGTAACGTCCTCTTGGGGTTCTATGACCTCTGAAGGGGTTAGTGAGTGTTCAGTAGAATTATAGAGGCTCTAGAATTATTTTTATCAGGGAAGTTTTGCATCATCTAATCCTTTGAGTCATGACTGCACCAAGACATAACATTTTATATACGCATTAGTATAACT